AAATTACTTCATAATCTTTCATACTCAATATACTTCTTATATAAATTGAATATGTAGCATAATGAAAATATGATTTTGTTACTAAATGGAATATATTTATCGATGTTGCACATAAAATTAACTTCAGTCAGTATCTTTCTTAATAAAATGAATGAATATAGAGATTCAAAGCTTACAAAGAAAAAATCATTTCATTTTACATTGTTTGTTGTTTAAATCTTATAAAACTTAGAAATGATCTGTAAACGTATAAATTTTAGTGGTTATGAAACAGTAATAGACTTATAGCTAATCAATCATAATAATGTATTTGTTATTATTAATATGTTAAATTTGATGCCTAAATTGTCTGACGTTATTGTCAAATCCTCGACATCTGAAGGAAAACATGAATACAATGGACAGCTCAGAATCAATTAGACGATTTGAACTTCCCAGATGATTTAGCCCTCCTATCGCATATACACGAACAGATGCAGACATTGACAGCCAGTGTGGCAGCAGTCTCTGCATCAGTGGGCCTCAGCATACACAAGGTCCAAGGTCCTCAAATTCAAGGCGAAGAACAGCAATCCAGTCACTCTTGAAGGAGAAACTCTGGAAGATGTAGAATCCTTCACATACCCGGGAAGCAGCATCAATGAACAAGGAGGCTCAGATTCAGACGTAAAGGCGAGGATTTGGAAAGCAAGGGTCGCATTCCTACAATTGAAGAACATATGGAACTCAAAGCAACTTTCAACCAATATCAAAGTGAGAATATTCAATACCAACGTCAAGGCAGTTCTACTGTATGGAGCTGAAACTTGGAGAATTACAACAACCACCATCAAGAAGATACAAGTATTTATAAATAGCTGTCTTTGCAAGATACTCAACATCTATTGGCCGGATACCATCAGCAACAGCCTTCTGTGGGAGAGAACAAACCAACTTCCAGCTGAAGAAGAAATTAGGAGAAGATGATGGAAATGGATAGGGCATACATTACTCAAATCATCAAACTGCATCACGAGGCGATTGGTAATTTGGAATCCTGAAGGGAAACGGAAAGAGGAAGGCCTAAGAACATATCACGTCGGGAAATAGAAGCAGATATTAAAAGGATGAATAACAACTGGAAGGACCTAGAAAGGATTGCCCGGGACAGGGTTGAATGGAGAATGCTGGTGAGTGGCTTATGTTCCTTCACGAGGAGTAACAGGCGTAAGTAAGTAAGTATTGTCAAAATAAATTATCAGTTGGAGTCTTGAAAAAAAAGATGATAATTACAATTAATTGATCAATAATGGATATAAAATTGTGTTTGTGATATTCAAAAGATAATATAGTATAGAATTATTCAATATGTTTCAATAAACTAAAATTGTTAGCTTCTAATAACGTATATTTATAATCAGAAAAACTGATTTTCAATCGTACTATTATTGAAATTATATGAAATAAGAAAGTTAAACTATTGTTGATAAAATTTCATAATTTCGTTTACATTATGATGAGAAAATTAATTGACGAATTAAAACTATTAGAAGATGAGTATGCGATATTCAATTTAATCTATTCCGCATTTGCACAATCGTTAGGATGTTGATTACAAAAGTTTGCAAGTGTTATGTTAAAATTTTATTTTATTTATTTATTTGAACTTAAAGATATTGATACAAGTGGGCACCAGATACATATGCACCACACAAATCTCATTTGATTTGTATGAGAGCTGTGATAATTCTCGGGTGCCCAAAGTATGTGGTTGTCTTAGAGGGCCACAGTCGGAGCCTTCGACCTAACGATCTGATCCACAAGGCAGTTGAACAACATTAGAAGATGTAGTCTTACGGTAGCCAATGACCAACGAATGGTTCATACGCCATTTGTTCCCTTAGGATACTGGAGCCTATGTGCATCATTGGTTTTGTACCAGGGTTTTCCAACCCCCTAGGTGAACTCTTCATGTCCGCCAGCCCAGCCCAGAGGGGACTCTCCCCAATCTCGGCCGTAACAGGGTATTTGGAGGAACCGGACGACGCCCGACGTGGGGCTCGATCCCACGACCCTGAGATTAAGAGTCTCATGCTCTACCGACTGAGCTAGCTGCTTCAGCGATATATAATATTTTCTCTCACCTCTTTCTATATATATGTATATGCCCTGAGTGATATATTTCAGAACCAATAGAACCAATTATATCAGAAGTACAAAATACCTCAAACGGTACAGCCTCTGCTATACAGTCAGAAGTTTCTTTAATGAAACGTAGCGTGCTAAACAATAAAAGAAACAGTTAATACCAAAGGGTTCGATACCTTAGAATGAATAAAAATATTCCCAACAAGATGGGATCCAATATCTATCTGTAGGGATTCCAGCAATCCTCTCAATCAGACAGTCAAAAGGTGAACAATCATACACTGAACCACGCCGTGACCTTGAGCTTAGTCAAACACGACCTTACTTTCAATAGTCTGACAACATGCAATAGAAAATTAGGTAGCAAAAGAAAGTCTTTAATCAAAATCACATGGTAAAGGCTCAAACGAGGAAGACATGAGAACGAAGGGTGTGGTTAAAAGAAATGTGAATAAAGGTTAAAATACACGACAGGGAGAAGAAACAAATAGATGACAGTACTGTCCAACAAAAAAGCTCCGGAGGCATTTTCATCGTTCTCCTTCCGTCACAGTGCTTCTTTCTGAGTCCCACCTCTGTTGAGATATGGTTTGTTCTCTCCTACAATAGGTTGTTGCTGATAATGTCTGATCAAGAGATCCGAAGTATTTTGAGTAAACAATAGTTAATAAACACATGTATCTTCTGGATGATGACTTCCGTAGTTCTCCAAGTTTCCTCCCCAAACAGTAGAACTGTCTTGACGTTTGTATTGAAATTTCTGACCTTGGTGTTGATTGACAGTTGTTTTGAGTTCCAGATATTTTCAGTTATAGATATACTGCTCTTGCTTTGCCGATCCGCGCCTTCACATCTGTATCAGATCCGCCGTGTTCATTAATGATGTTGTCCAGATATGTGAAGGTTTTTACATCTTTCATAGCATCTCGATCAAGGGTGATTCGATTAGTACATGCTGGGTTGTATCGGAAAGATTATATATAAATATATCCGTGAATAAAGAAAGATTGAATTTGAAATGTTATTTTCATCAAATGGAGACAAATAATTTGATTTATCGAAGAAATACGAAAACATATTCAGTAATGTTATAACCGTAATGCGATTTTCGGAGAAGATTTTTTGGAAATATTAGTTTAAACTTTCTTGAGTCATTTTATCTCTACTTTGATAATTAAAGTAAAATTAAGTAATGCTCTGTATTCCTACAGTGACACTTCATATCAGCATCTAATTTTTCATATCTCACCAACGGTAAATAGCTTTATTTTATTGAAATACCTCATGTGAGTTCTTTAAACAAGAAGTGATTGTTTTAAATACTTTCAACTATTAAGATAAACCACTTGATTAGTTATTGATGTTTTAAATATAGATTTTACTGAACAAAAATAGCAGATATAATATATAGAAGCCTAAGTTGGATACGTTTAGTCATCTATGTAAAAACAATCTATAAACTAGAACAGATTATCATCGATTGAAAAAGTCACAGTTCATACCAACATACAATCAGTATAGATTAATACGATGAAAAGGAAAAGTTAAAGATATAAATGATCATGAATAAATAAACCTAATCAAAAACTAGATCGAAAATAAAAACAAGTGAAATATCATACTGATGTGACAGGATATAAGGATGGTACTACTGAACTTAATATTTATTGTATCAATTGATTGGGAATCTTGGCTGGCCTGACAATTGTGGACCTATGTTCAGTGTGGGAGTTATATTCCCTGTATCAATTCACCTAAATTATATTCACCGTGTGTTTCTATAGTAATTCCATGTATTATCCTTTATATGTGATATTACTGTGTAAAACTTAATATATAAATGATTATATTTTTGTTTAATAATGATGTGATGTTAGGAGTTGATTGAAGACGTATTTTTGAAGAGTCAAAAAAATCTTCATTACAACAGTCTTTTTGGTTCCCATTTAGACCTATGTGACCTACAATAGCTCTTGACTGTCACAATAAGAGTCAGTACCTATATGACAGCGATGAAACATGGATACATTAACAGAGTTGACAACCCCAGGCATAATATTATTGACACAGATTAAATACACACAAATTTACAAACTTACAAGAAGATACCAAATGTAGACAATCGAATGATTAACATCGATCTCAATTCATAGAATCTAAAGTTATGATTTTATTTTACAATCGACTCATTCAGTAATTTAGACTTATTGTATCAACTGATAGAAATAGATAACAAGTTTTAGTAGACTATTCCCTTACTTACTTACTCCTGTTACTCCTCGTGAAGGAGCAAATGCCGCTCAACAGATTTTTTCTGGTTAGCGTTTTTTTAACGAGTTAGCTTTCTACGGGATGGGGTCGCTAACCCCATGCCCCAACCCTCCTCCTTTACCCAATCTTGGGACCGGCAGTAACTCTAGAAGAGCTACAGACGGGATTCCCCCGATCATTTACTTTATGATATTTAAAAAAGATTTCTATCGTTAGAAAACTAATAGTACCATAGAATTACTGAGTACCATAATCTTCAACAAAGAAATACAAGTTCAGTTAAATGTTATTCAATGAATTTCACCAATTTTTGTCTTTATAAAAATTAAGAAAAACTATTGATGAAGTTTTTTTCTTCACTATTCATTATCATTTATATTATTGGTTTTTTGTAACACTATAAGCATGTGCGTTATTATTATTATTATTAGAGTAAACGGATCAATATTTCATTAACCAATCCAAATGATAGGTCAGTTAATCTGGTGCTACTTTAAGCGTGTGATTGGAAAGCAATAAGAAAATTTGAAAAGTTTTTTTTGTTTTGTTTTTATTAAAAAAACGTTTTGAATTGCTGTTGCTATACGTTTGATAATTTTACTATGTCGGATTTAAACAATGTGACTGGATTAAATATTGTAAGTTGAGTTATTGATAATTATTATAAATGAATGAATAGTTTGATCATTTTAGTGTATGTTTGTGAATTTAGAAATAATTTTTAATTGAACTGTCTTATTAAATTTATGGTGTAGATGTAGGTTGGAAGAAAGCTAGGGGCGGCCAGACCAATAACATGGTATAAATCCATGAATTCACTGACAAGTGAACTGAGACATGTTGCTAGGTGTAAACTAACTGGTTGTGATCCGTGAGATGATAGCAACCGATGGTTAGAGACCTTGAATGACATGGCTCAAAATCATTTGCATTGGCGTAGGTGCATACATTCTTTGTGTTCTCCCAAATTCCAACCTTTTGGATTCGTCATCTAGCTTTTTTTCTCTTCCCAAATTTATTTCCCTGGATTATACTCCTTGAATAACATCTTCAAACGCTAATCTTTCTAATTACTGCTTATACTTTTACTACCTCTAACACTATGGGACTTGGATCAATAATTGTATCCTTGTGCTAATGTGGTATGACAACTCGAACTGATGTACGTACGTACGAAGTTCTACGTTGCTGCTGACTGACTCTTATTAGATTCTTTATAATCGACTCAAAATACAATTCATGTTTCTTAAAGAATATCACCTTCACATGTTAAACATTACATTTGGTGATAACTAATCACTGAATGTAAGATATGTATTTTATTCTTTAATTCATTAACTAGATATACATCCACCCTACTTGGCTACGCTTAATATCCCTCGTAAAGGAATGTGGTCTTCCCCCTTTCTTCGCTTTCCTTAGCTTTAGGATTCCAAGTTAGCGCTTGCTTATGATGTACTCTGATGATTTTCTCAATCTATGTCCTATCCAGCTCCAACGTCTTTTCCTAATTTCCTCTTCAGTTGGAAGCAGGTTTGTTCTCTCCCACAGTAGTTTGTTGCTGATAGTATCCAACCAACGGACAGTGAGTGTTTTGCTTAGATAATTGTTTGTAGATACTTGCACGTCTTTGATGATGGTTTTAGTAGTTCCCCAAGTTTGAGCTCCGTACAGTAGAACTTTCTTGACGTTCTTATTGAAGATTGTGACTTTGAAGTTGATTGACGTTTGTTTTGAGTCCCATGAGTGCTTCAATTGTAGGAATGTTGCTCCTTGACAATTTTTATTTCCATATCTGATTCAGTCCACTTGGTTTATTAATGATGCTCTCCAGATGTGTGAAAGTTTCCATGTCTTCCAGAGTGTGATTAGGTTGGTTTTTTCCGTGTTGTATTTGAGGACGTTGATTTTTCCCTTGTAGATGTTCAAGCCTACATCCAGCTTAGCAAGATACATATTCATCAAAGTAATGAGAATCTGAGTAATTAAGAGCTTATTAACTCCCTTTAGCCGTATTGTATTCTATGAGCTTGATAGTTTAATCACAAATGTTTCATTGTCGTTCTGGACAACATCGCCAATGTTCATTTCATACAGAACACTTTAATCACATTTTACAACTATTAGTCTACAAGTATGTGATTACAAAATCAGTGTAAGTTAAATATACAAGCTTTTTTTTAATATGAAGCATAAAGAACATTATAAATATCCATCTGATGAATATTGAATAACATAAGGATAAAGTTAACTATTTAATGCATAAACATGTGAAAATAAGAAATGATTTAAAAAATATGGTACACTTTTATTCAGCAAATTACCTTTGTCATAGTTTAAACTTTGTCTAATTCTCTACCATTAACATTCCTACAACAACAAAAAAAAGATAACCAGGGTGAAAAGTAAGTGGTAAAAAATAATAATGGTAATATTGTCTAAAAAAACTAAGAACAAACCGAAATTGGTTCAATGGGAATGAATGAAACCGAAGAATCAAACATATGACAAGTTATTAATCACATGTCTTACAAACAAAAATAGTAAAGAGATTCAATATCACTGTTGATATACTTTATCGAAGGTTTCGATTAATAAGCTACAATTATTTAACAACTTTTTAGTGACCTTTTATTTTGTTGTCATTTAGATTGGAAGATGTTGTCGACGGGCTCACCATTTTAATGGCTGGAGATCTGACTCCAATGAGATCGTTCCTGATTACTATTGAGATATATATATCGTCAATCCTCGTATATAATTATCGAGTTAAATCGCGTTAGTGAACAACGGAATTAAATAAGTCAAATACGAGAATAGATTTTTGAATACATATATCTTGTACAATTGTTGATCGGTACAAATAATCAGCGAGAGTTAGCGAAGGAGTCAGATCTCGAGCCATTAGATTGATGGGCCCGTCGACAACATCGTGAGGTCTAATTGATGTCTAAATAAAGGACCCCACTAAATTATACATATTTTGGTACCTTGTACATTGCCATTTATTTTTCATTACTAAATCGTTTCATATAAGCTCAATAGCAGTTTAAATAACTAAAGATTTTTTTTATTTCTTGTAATACTGATTAAACTAATTTCAGTCAGATACATTTAAATGGTTTACCATTTACTAGATACATATTTACTCGTTTGATTGATAGATTACCATTCTTTTAATAAATAAAAATTAAAGTATGCAATCAGGTGACATACAGAATTATTTTCTGTCTTCAAATTGAATAAGTCATTAAATGATATAGTTGCTAGGTTTTACTGGGATTTTTGTCCCGTATTAATTTATATAGACATGTAGGAATTGTTTACATTATTCTTAAAATTAATTCTGAGTCAATGTAAATTTCTAAAGGAAGTAAGTTGTATTACTGTTTGAACTGACTGATTATTGAAAATCATGAATCAGAGAATGATAATTTCTTTCTGTTAGATTACATCCAATCAATTATCATCCATAAACCTAAGCTTTATGGAACTAAAAGATTTCAGTCATAGATATTAATACAATACAATCTAACTAAGGAACCAAAAATCAATAATCAACACTTCATAATCCATACACAATACTATCAATGATTAATTGTCACACTAACGATCTATTTAACTTTACACTATATGGCTTCCTACCAAAATTTGTAGAGGTCAGTCACTTATCAAGACATAGTCATCATATACAGTGGATATTTATAGAGATTTAGTAATACTGTCAAGGTTGAGTTGTGCTAATGAAGTATAAATTAGAATGAAATTGCAGAGCATCTTTTCATAGTATTCACTAGCTGTTCAGATAATCGTAGTCTGCTTATAAAAATTAACAGAAATCACGTTAAAATCACCTTGGCAAACTGAGTAGTTCCATACTAGGATGAAACGGCTGTTCAGTGCTTTAAGGTTTCATTAATGGTTGTCTAACTTTGATTAGTTCATGATTTCAATAAGATTCTACAACATCTAAAATCCCATAATGAAAATTTATATTATTTGCGGTGATTACTTTTTACAATTTTATTCTTTGTTATGTATCTAATTTTGATCGCAACACAATCCTGAAGGCTTAAATTTAACTTGTAGATATATCAGCTAAACTGAATTTATGATGATTTTATAGGTATCAATGCCAAGGTTGAACTCGATAGTTTCAAATAAATTGAACATCGAACAATAAATATATGTTTTTTTATTCCAATGAGTAGAAAAATTGTATTTCTGACGTTTCGTGATTTAATGTAAGCCACTTCTTCAGAATAAATAAGTAACAGAATTAAACCAATATATTTAGTTACTCTGAAGAAGTGGCTTACATTAGGTCATGAAACATCAGAAATATCATTTTCCATCTCATTATGATACAATAAAAAATATATCAACAGTTGAGGTCATGAGTCATTTGATGCTAGATCACAATGGAAAACCTGGAAGCACTGGACGGCCGTTTCTTCCTACTGTGAGACCCCTCAGCAATGCGCATCCACGATCTCGCTTCGCGGGATTCAAACCCAGGATATATCAGTCTCGCGCCAGGCGCTTAAACTTAATAGGACGAAACGGCCATCTAGTGCTTCCAGATTTTCAATGATGGTCTAGCTTTAATTGACTCATGATGTCAACTGTTGAAATTACTATGATCTCCGCAAAACCCCTTCTGATACTAAAAAAATATATTTATTATCATGATGATTTTGGGCCACTTATATTCACATTGCTTAAGAGTTTTAAATTAGTGAAAATAACTGAACAATAATCGTTTGTTTGTTCGCCTTAGATTATTAACTGAGAGAAGAAATTACTCTCACTGTTTATTGTTTATGTAAAGATTATTTCAAAAGAAAAGGGATTAATTGATTACAAGTGAATTTAGTAGAAAATGACTGATAAGTTTAGAGTTTCAGATTGTATCCTGCTATGTACTAAGAGAATTTAACTGAGATTGATTTATACACAAAAGAAATAACAATATTATTTGTCTTTATCACAACTCATAGCATTTATTTTTGTACTTACAAGGATCAGATATTACGGCTTGTTTTATATTAAGTACAATGTTCAGATTTCATTAGGTTTATATCTAACCTAAAGTTAACTTATTCTCTGGATTTGTGAGTATAAAAGTCAGCGCGTATGAGAAAATCTAGAAAAGAGGTGAATAAGAAACAAAGTGAATAGACAACTCATTACGCATACAAGATATGTTTGCATTCAGTTATGAAAGCAACTTACTAAGAAGTTAATAAAGCAAGATATAGAATGTATTACAAGAAGTGCCATTGTAGTAATAAGTTCAGTTTATCTTATATCTTATTTCTTTTACTAAATTAGATTTTCTTTCACCATTGTTATCATTGTGTAAAAATATTCCAGAACCTACAATGTATAAAACAATTGATATTTCTTCTAAGAAGATATTGAGGTTCATTATTATAAATCGTAATTGATAATTAATCACTGATTTAGATAATGATTGAAATGAAGATCATAATAAAAGTTCATAGCCGTAGAGTTTAACTCTTGAAAAAGTACATTGCAATATAGATTACTAAACTATTATGTGTAAATGCGCGGTCAATGCTACATACAGGAAGTGATCGAATAATTCTGATCACATGCTTTAAAAAATATATTAAAGTGCCACATGATTAAAATGACCAAAAAATGTTCTTGTGTACATAATAGCTATCACAAACATTCCATAAATCATTAGAGTAAATGCCATTTTGTTTTATATATAGTACACTTTTAGGATTTTCATAATTCCTGTTAGAATAGTAAATTTGTGAACTTATCATAAAAGCGATCGTATTGAAATAAATCTGTTATATCTTGAAACTGATTTTTCTCGATAGACCGCGTATAACAGAGCACTAGAACACCAAAACCCTTCCAAGTCGCAATAAGAAGACAGAAGACTAATGAAAAGAATATTATTCCAAACAGTGTCAATCATAGTACAAAATTGTCAGGTATTTATAGTTTTTAGTGAGAACAAAATCATCATTACAGTCTTCCGATCCGCATACAAGGGGTTATTAACATTATCCAATCGGGAAGCTATACGTTGGAATTCTAGAACATTCTTCCGAAGGGTGATTGGATGAGACGTCTTCGTCTCCTTCTGAGCCTCTTATAGCTTCCTCGAGTTCACCGGTGGTCCGTCGTCACAAAATCAAATATTTCTGTCTAAATGACAAGGATCAAAGTTTAAGATCTTTTAGAAAATGTAATCAGTTATTCATTGTGATCACAGTAATTATGCTAACTATAATAAATAGTTGTTAAATCTGGGTTTGCCTAAATTAAAAAATACACTTGCTTGATATTTGTAACACAGGAATGGATACGAAACTGGCATGAGAATTTAGTCGAAAGTTGATACTTTTTATTGTTACTAAAAATTGTAGGTATTATGATTATTCAAAGGTAATAAATTCCATTTGAGAAAGGAAAGTATGTTATACACAATCGTTAGTTAAGATCAATAGTCCCTATAAGAGTGTCCAAAGCTTTAACCTGATCGCATCCAATCACTTACCATTAAAGTTCAGTGTGCTACTGAGAAACTTTGAGAAGTGATCATATTTCAATGATACCGATATATAGTGCAAAGATATCGGTTCTATATTAAACAAAACTCATCAGAAAGGCATATAATTAAGAATTCTAACAATAACGTTAAGTAATGACGAGTTGAATCTTATAATAGCAGCGCTTATTGAGGAATGTAGAAAAGGTTGCCTATGAGTATTCAACTACACAATTCTTAGGTCAAGGAATTATTATCACTCACCTAAAACTTCCCATCATTTAAGATATAGTTATTTGTCAATAAGTAAATATAGTCAGCGGCTTAATATTTTTAGTGTAAATGGCGATATATCATTATACCTATCTGATAATGGGTTAAGTTAATTTGAAGAATCCTTCAAACATTAAGGAAGAAACTAGTGGTTTCTATCAATTAGAATTAATTTGTCAATCATTAAAAAAACGTTTTATATGGTTAATTAGTTGGAAACGTTTAATTTATATAAACCTTATACAATCCATATGATTGATAATATCACGTTGATATGAATCACCAAAAATTGGATCAAATTAAAATGAATTATTGATTTGATCCTTCACATATTTATCTCCCTTTACTGATGAATTTATGTTTACAAAATTCTAATATTTGTGTATACGGTTTTTAAATCACGTTTATTGGTCTTATGCTAATCTCACAATGATTTTACAATCCAACATCTGATTTACTGGAAAATAAAGGTAGTTAAATTTTTTGTTTGTCACATGAATAGGGATAATAAGGAGTTATTTGAATTACAGATAGATGATTTATCATTTAATTGTGTAAATGTAGTACAACTAGTTGTTAAGGCTAAAAATAAGTATTTTTTTATGTTTTATTTTTTTCGATTATAAAAGATAAAATCAGTGTTGTTTATATAAAAAATAAGGACTGAAAAACAAAGTTCAATTATAAATAAATTAACATATTTATAATATCCCAATGAATAGAAAAATTTGGATTTTCTGACGTTTCGTGACTCCACGTTAGCCACTTCTTCAAAAGATAAATAACCGAATCAAAATAAATCCAAGTTTAATTAATTTTGATTTGGCTGTTTATCTTCTGAAGAAGTGGCTTACATGGAGTCACGAAGCGTCAGAAAACCCAATTTTTTTTTACTCGTTGTGGTATTACAAATTGTTAGGTCTATCGAAGCATTCAAGTCACTCAATTGAGATCTGCGCAAAACCGAAGTTCGCAAAACAACGACTTGTCTTAAATAGCGGATCTTTATTGAATCACACACAGAGATTAGTTACAAACCTCAACTTGTAAAGTGTCTGAGGCTTTTACCGCGTCCTTTTGTATGAAATAAAAACGGCTTCTTGTAACAGTAACATAAATAATAATTACACTATATGATAGAGCAAAAGACAGCTGATAGCTATTTAAAATTGGTAACAGTTTATCAACAAACATTACCCGAACCAAGAGCAAACAATATACCCACCTTTGAGGTTTAAACAAACGCACGAAGTTGTGGATAACTGACACAGTAATTTAGATAAAATGATTATAATGGTAAATACAATAAATCAACTGACTCATGATTTCAATCTGTGAAAATTTCTAAAAATTCCCACAAAACACATTCTGATAATAATAATAATCACCTGCTCACTAGTGACTGACTTCAGGAGACACTTCTGGAGTTCTAGTGAGAAGTCGTTACCAGTGGAGTTCAACCAGGTCTGTTGTGAGATAGGAACTAACTGAAGACAATGGTGTACGGTAGCGCAACTTCGTGGATTGGTTGAAGTTAGACATTAACACCGTGGGATGCCGGCTCAGTGGTCTAATGGCTAAGCGCTTGCACGCGAAGCCAGTATGTCCTGGGTTCGAGCCCCGAGTGGTACGGGGTCGTGGATGCGCACTGCTGAGGAGTCCCATACTAGGGCGAAACGGCCGTCCAGTGCTTCCAGGTTTTCAATGGTGGTCTAGCTTCAACTGACTCATGATTTCAATCTGTGGAAATATGTAAATATGTCAGAATATTATATGACAAACTTGCGTTACAACAGAAGTTTAAAACTTTTTGGAAATACAACTACTTACTGAGTGTAAATAGGTAGTATAAAACAATACGGGAAAGAGTGGAAGAGAAGAGAGCAGGACAGAATGTTAAACAGATTTAACACAAATATATCAATTTATATATAACAATTTACCCAATACTCAATTTATTCGAAATTATCAAGTCAAAACTTGATAATGATACCTACAAAGTTTGATCATACTATGCTGCATATTAAATTGATTTATTAAGCTCGGAATCTGATACCAAACGTTCATAACATATAAGTAAAAAACATTTAAAAATAATAATTAGCTGCTAGTTATATTCACGAATGTTAACGATCAGTTCTTCTCTTATGTTACACAATATATTTGATGTTAGAATTCTTTATAAGTCAACTGTCCTTCTTCAAAGAAGAGATAAATATCGAAATATACCGAAAAATTGTAACGATTTAAAAAAAATTTCTTAGTGATTAAATTCATAATGATAGAAATATTATTCGAAAGTGAATAGATACACTCAATCATCTAATTTTATAAATTTAATGAAAATAATTATAAAGAAAAAGGAAACAAACAAACAATTTGGTCAATATAAAAACCTTTCAAAAGACATCTGGTTCAAAATTTAGTTAAAATAACAAACTCAATAAATTTTGATGGAGTTTTGTTCTCTGAGCTGGATGGTTTGATCGTGGAGCTTTCATCGTTCTTCTGAACGACATCATCAGCACAAACTTCAGATAGAAGTGAAGTGTTCGAATTTCTCCATATGCGTTTCACAGCTTGTTCTGTACACCTCGACGTTGATTGATTCTTATTGGCCTTAAATTTGTCATGGTTTACTTCTTTGTTTTGGTTGTGTCCCCCTTCACAAACATAAAATCCATCTTAGAAACATTTATCTTCTAATGATTTTTACTGTATCTATTCAATGGAAAATTGTTAGAGTAAAAGGATAACTATTTATTAAAACAATATATTTATTATTGCATATTTGCCAATATTCAACATCAAACGTAAATATTAATTTTAAATTCATTTGGTATTGCTTGCTTGAATTTTCCTATTGATGTTTAGGACTGCAAATGATCAGTCTCTTGTTGGCATATGTGCATACTGTGAGGATTGCCTCGATATAGCCTTAATTCACAAGCACTATAAGTAAAGATAGTTTGTGACTAGCCGTAGAATCCAGGATGCACGTTTCATCCTATTTGGGACACATCAGCTGGATGTACCTGCATCCCAAAGTTGATGTTCACTTTGTAAATCGAACCTAGTACCATTCGCTTCAAACACCATCACGTTATCCACTTAGCTATTGAGTTCTAAATAAGACGGAACGCGCATTCTGGATTCCACTTCTATCCACTATTCATCTTTGATTATAAACATTAATTTTTGTTTGATATTTTCCATATATTGTTTCAGTTTAAATTTTCACAAGATGAAGCGGAAAATATAATTAAAAAGGTAATAATGAATAAAATTGATTTATAAATAAATAATCTTGTTTCATTTCTAGTGTATACAAAATATCATTGGAACTAATTTATACACAAATGAATCAGCTAAAGAATGGGCTAAAACTATTGTAGATAATTGTAGAAATGATTTAGTGAAATTGGGCAAACCATTTAAATATATTGGTAATTATATTTTATAAATCAAAAATGTAATTGATTTTAAATAATTTTGTTTATTTTTTTAAACAAAAAAGTCAATTGTACTATAACTCAAAAATCTGGATCTGGAGTTTACAGTGCTTCGTCATGTTATTGGGATACAGGAAAAGATGGTAAGTTCATTATCAGCTCTTTAAGAAAAAAGATGTTTTTTGTTTATTATTTCGTTGAGTATAATATTCAGTAGTGTAGTGTCGGTTATTATGTTAAGCCCATATTACCTTATTCTAGCTTTCAGATAGGTTAATCTATTAATTGAGTCATATTTTCACCTTGATAATTATTTGCTTATAAATCTTATCTGTTTTTATGTAAGCGTTTATGTGTGATCTTCTTATCCTATTCATCATATATCTGTAACTTACTTTTGTGTAACTATACGTATTGACTAACGTTTGAATAAATAGAGTTGGCTTACCTGCCATCTCCACTGTACGTCGTTTTGCTTCGCTCTATTCTATTCGCTTCATATACAAAATATATGTATTCAAAAGTTCATTCTCGTTATTTGACGTATTTAATTTCGCTATTGACTAAGGCGATTTAAGTCGATGATTATATATGAGGATAGGCGAAATATATATTTCAATAACAATCATTCATACGATCTACTTGGAGTCAGATCCCAGGCCACCAAAATGGTGAACCCGTAGACAACATCGTCTGATCTAAACGAAGACAAAATAAAAGGTCACTAAAGTGGGAACAATTTCATCAAATGCAGTAATCATGACAATTTACGGAAGTCAGACTACAGTAAAGGGAACAATAAATGTGCAAATTAAATTACTGAAAACTATACAGCTATTTGGTATTCAAAATTTAGATTAGTATAACAATGAATACATCTAATTAACTGAAATCATTTATTTATGTCGTATTCCATAAAGTCTCTAATTATAATTTAGGTTTGTCATACAATCTTTAACCAAGTGTTATATATTTTGTTATATATTAGTGAAGATTAAAGTACGAGTAACTTTTGAGACCTATTAATGAACTAATATTATCTATATATTCTTACGGTATAACTATTCAGTAACTAGATTATATATATACGAATAGAGAGGGGGTTATACTGTCCATTAGGCAATAATGCAAACAATCTCGCGAGGCGGAGTCATGGTTGCTCACTGCTGAAGAGTCCATGGTTCCATGGTTGTCTAGCTCCAACTGACTCATAAATTCAACTATTAAATTACTATAATATCCACAAAACTTCTCTCTGACTAATATTATTTACTGAAACTTTAAAGAACAGTGTATTGTTTTTTTAATGTAATTATTCAATTATTAAGATTTTTTATCCCTATATAAATAAATTATTATTCCTAAAACAACAATTAACTTCTCATTTTACTGATTTTTCTATTCTAGGCAATTGTAAGGTGAAATGGGAAAACAATCACGTTTATTGTATTGTCGTAGCGTTTGCAATTTCTCTGTAATCTGATATAATAAACAAGATGATACAACCAATGTAGTAATATCAAATGTTTGAATTTACAGATGAGGACATTTTAATTATTTTAAATTATACATCTACATATGTATATGCATGACATATAAAGTGATTTTATTAATTGAACCTTATATTTTCACTGAATATAGAACTTCTTGTCATATTCAGCAACGATTTTAATAAATTTATTTTTTTACTACTTAATACTTTTTAAGTAACAACGAAGTGGTCTTTTAAAATATATGGATCATAGAGAACGATGACAACTCATAATTCCTGAATCATACAATGAAGAATCTACTTATCACATTGTTCAGTGCTTAATGCTAACATACGATCGGTTCACAGGGAATTTTGTACAAAACGGCGAGACCATAATTTGTGGACGAATCAATCAGGTATAAGATAACAGATCTCGGATTTTAACACAAAAGCCTTTCATCCATTTGACTTGATAAATTTCTGGCATTATAGCTGATGTCAGTTCATGATGAAAACCCCATATATAATTCCTAACTAAGGCAAATTACGACAATTATTGCGAACTGGATGATAAAAGCACCAGTGACACTGACTGCATCCAGGTACTACAATATATACGGATGATTGGAGATCGTAGAGACTCCTACATAGGCTTGGTTATGTGCATCGTGTCGTTATCAAAAGTGGCATTTTGTGTATTCAACAACCGGAGTGTACACAAACAATACTGAACTATGTAGTCGAGGCTGAAAGAGTTTTTGAGAGTTTATCATGGCTCCAGAGGTCGACTATTCTGTAGCCATATGGATGATTCCTCCTACTGCATGAATTACGATTTTAGAACCTCTTTCTAATCTTGATAAGTATTTGAACCATGTATAAGACGTGTATCCACTTTATTTCTTTGATTTTGTATAACATATTATATATATATATATATATATATATATATGGTTTGACCAGAGAACGAAACTCCTCCGAAACCATCCACCTGATCTACAAAACGTCTCCATCACCTTGTTTTCTTGAGGTCTCTGGTCACTACTAAATAAACATCAAATTAGTCAACTTTAAATATATAGTTTTATAGCATAGAAAATTGCAGTAATAACTAGATTAATTTAAATAGAAATTGGTGTTTTCAGACGAAAAGATGCTGTTAGGTTCTCTCTTAATAGTGAATTGAAATAAATTTGTCACACATTTAGGTAGCTGAAATCAAACTCATAAATAAAGAGCATCTCCAGATTAAAAAATAACTGGTACTATGGTGAACAAAACACAAGTGTGGACAATCAAATGTGTTTAACATAAAATTACAGGACTAGTTAATAAAATCTAAATACGTAATTTGCAAAATATCCATCATTTGTCTCATAATGACTCAGACTTCACTGTTGTTGCATCTTAATACAAATTGCACTTTGTTTCCATTCTTCACTGTTCGATCCTCTTGTCTCTCTGCTGCCAGACATTCTGTTCCTGACTAACATCATCTACTACTTATGTCAATATAAGTAGCACATACCACAGTACAATCAAAATTATTTTGAACTTTCGTACCCAGTACAGCTGTCAGAAATGTTACCACTGTACTATCCGGAGATTAAATGACATCAATGAGATTATATTAGGTGTACAGGATATTGATTCAATGACTCATTGTGAAATAGTTAATTAGAACGACTGAACAGGCTCTTCATTATTGACAATATTTTTTATGGAGATGCTATAAGAAGATAATAACACCTTTGTTCGTCAGTGGAATTATTTTTTGAATACCATATTCATTTTGAAAAACAAAGTACATGAAATCGCATGTAACGTGAAGGGTACAATTTCATACTTCACACGCTCACGTGTCTCCTAAATTCCAATCCAGCAATTTTAGCAAATTAAATATAGTTTTTCTAAATATGAATCGTGTGACCTAATCATATACCAACCAGCATTATCCATCCAACTCTGTCCTGGCTTATTCCCAGTGCTTGAGAAGTGCTATTCATTCTCTAGATGTTTGATTCCATTTCTCGACGCAGTGTGTTCTTTGGTCTTCTACTTTTCCGTTTCCCTTTAGGATTCCAAGTTAGAGCTTGTCTCGTGATGTAGTTAGCTGATTTGTGCAATCTATGTCCTATTCAACTCCAGCGTCCCTTCCGAATTTTCTCTTCAACCGGGAGCTCGTTTGTTCTCTCCCGTAGTAAGTTATTGATGGTGGTATCCTACCAATGGACATTGAGTATCCCGAGTAGATAATTGTTTATAAGTGTTTGTATAAATTTGATGATGGATAAAGTAGTTCTCTAAGTTTCAGCTCCGTACAGCAGAACTGTCTTGATGTTCGCACTAAAGATTCCGACTTTTATGTTGATTGAAAGTTGTTGTGACTACCATATGTTCTTCAAATATAGTAATCTTGTCTGTGCTTTCCTTCAGATGTGGAGGTCTTCATAATCCAGTTAACCACCTGAAGAAAGAGAAAGGGGAATGTGAGGAGTTTTGTCTGGTTCCTGACCCTACTTCCACTACGCCTGTCATCTTTATTTCATGCGCGACTTCACAGTTTAGTCCGTTGTATGAATTCCAGTTAATATTGACGATCCTCTCAGGTACCCACCAAATAGTGTCGTAGAAGTTTCCATAATGTCCTCCAATCCACACTATCAATTGCCTTCCTATAGTCAGTGAAGTTTATGTATATTGCTTTCTTACTCACCATTTATCTGGAGCTTACCGTGATTTCTTTAACCGTTGGTGGAGTGACATCTATAGGAAGGTGTGTGTATGCAGATTCGATGTCCCGTGGATTCTATGGAGTTGGTTTATTCAAGAGTTGCTCAAAGTATTCCACCCATCTCTTCCTCTGTTCTTGAATCTCAGTGATTGGTCTGCCTTCTTTACCCTTCACTGGTCTTTCTAGTTTACTATATTTCCCATTCGAGTGTCTTTGTTGTGTCACATAGCTGTCTCATATTTCCTTCCCTTGTAGCTTTTTCCACTGTCGTTGCTAGCTCTCCCACATATTTTTGTTTATCAGCTGTAATGTTCGCATTCAATTGATTGTTCTTTATAGAGTATTCAGCTTATGACTTGACTTTCTCTGTTGTTGTTCGACTGTGGTTAAGTGCTGTTTTCCTGTTCTTCTCTTGAATCCTTTCCACGGTTTCGATAGTTCCATTCTTATCCATGATGTTTCTCGCCTCCCAAAACCTCCTGACACGTTGAAGTTAATGTTTCATTGATCCCTTTCCAGTTGTCCTCCATACTAGTTTCTTCTTCTTTTAGTAGATCCTGTAAAGCTTGGAAATTGTTGTTGGGAACTATTTGGGATTCGTTAAGTTTGTTAGAATCTCGAAGGAAGGCTGTATTGTATATGTCAATATGTTTACAGTCTTAGATTTTACATCACTTTAATTATTTAATATAAATTGCTCCATATCACTTGTTCTTAACTTGGTATTTACCCAGATCAAACATCACTGGTCGATATAAACAATCATATTAGAATTAAATTCACTTGGCATTGTTTTACTTGTATCTTCCCACTGTTATTTAGGAATGCACTTGATCAGTCTCTTGTTGGCATATGTGAATCCTGTGCCAATTGCCTTGATATTGCCTTAATTCACAAGTTTTACAAGCAAAGATGGATAGTGGTTAATAGTGGAATCAAGGACGCGTTAGAATATCCAAATTAGTTTTTGATAATAAATAATTGACTTATTTTACTCAATGATCTAAAGTGTTTTTTCCAGTTTTTAATTATTTCCAGAATGAAATTTCATCTAGTCAAAGTTTTAGATAATATACCTTAGTAATAAAATGAACGAAACTTGAGATTAATAACCAATTTATGTGTTTATAATATTTCAATAGGTGGAAAATTCAATTTCTGTCGTTTCGTAACTTAATATAAAGTACTTCTGAGTAAATTAATAAATAACTTAGTTAATAAAATATTTATATCGTGGAGGCGCACTGCTGAGGAGTCCCATACTAGGACGAAACAGCCGTCCGGTGCTTCCATGTTTTCCATGGTCATCTAGTTTCAATTGACTCATGATTCCATTCAGTATAAGTGAAAAACACAGAATATATAATTTAGTCAAAATCAAAATAGATTTAATTATGTTAATGACAGATTATTGTTAATCACAATGATTCTAGTCATGACTACTATTGTATTACCTTTATCAGCTTTATTAATGACAACTGTTCTATCCGTTTGTAAAAAGTATAAAAACCTAAAAAAAGTTAATTTGCTTATTATAAACAACCTACATAAACTAGTTACTGGTTAGAATAACAAATTTTCTTATCATATTTATTTCATTCGTTAGAATAAGAATACAAGAAAGATATAATTAAATGATTCTATTTTTTAAATTTCATTCTAAGTTACCCCGGTTATATAGTGTTTATACAATAATATCATTATCAGTATTGATAGTTAGTATTGTTGGCTGAATTTTCAGTAATCTTTGATAAAAATACATAGATCTTATTTGGATTATCTACATATAGACATTTTGTTATAATTTTTATGGAAAGATTAATTAACAAGAGTATAGAAATCAAAGATATACTTTTTGTCCTATTCGAGATTCATTAACTAAATGTCAACAACAGATTCTTACAAACCTAACTAATAATACAATAAACATAATCTCTTTAATAAGCTAGTATCTTTCTGAACACAATAGGTGAATAGATAAAGAAATTTAGAGTTTTCATTGTAAACAACACCAAGATCCAAGTTTAATTCCGTTAATAAGTTATAAAAATAATACAGAATTCACATCTTAAATTCCAAGATTCACCACAACGTATCCTTTAAAATAAGTTTCGTGATATAACCTATACATTTAATAATTATGAATACAGTGGTCTTGAGTGCTGTTAGAGGCACGAAAGCGGTTATCACTTCCCGGTTGCCCAAACCGTGAAAGGGTTCTTCTGGAGGTACCTGAAAAGGAAATTGGATTAGAGGTGGTCTTAGTGACC